ATTATCATCAAATCAAGTCTTGACATTTGAGTGAATTTAATTTCTCCTGGACAATAATTTAAGTCATACGTATGTTATGACTTTAAACTTTTTTGATAATCATTTCAATTATTATTTCCTTATCATTCTAGTAAACCGATACACTCGGATTCTTGGTGTGATTTTTTCCAAATTCTTTGGTTGTCATAAATGGCATAAAAATTAGTTCTGATTAACAGTGAACTTGCTATGGGTTGCTAGTTTTGAGTGGTGTACCTTAATACACTTTTTTAACAAGTCAGATTAAGCAATACCAGATTTGCATAGCAAACATATTGGCCACTGGCGGCATGTGTTCTTCGACAACAAACTGTCAATAATTATGTTATATTCATAATTAACATCTTTTGTCATATATAGTATATAGTATAATAAACTATGTCATTATTATTGTAAAATGGATATATTATAAGAATAATCGTCTTTGATTTTTTTTTCCATAGATATACTTTGTACACTACTTTTGTTTTTGTATTGATTTCAGTGTGCTTCTTCTGTCCTTTGGTCGGGACAGGCCCCACTCGATTCTTATTGAACAAAGTCGTTCGCGTGTGTTTGTATTTTTTTTATCATAATCAAATATTTCCCACCTCCAAATTCGATCATCAAAATCGTAACAGGCAATCTGGTTCCCTGTCAAAAATCGGGTTTCGTCGAGATTTTCGTCAAAGTGTCACGTTGCAGAGCTGAGATTGTTTACTTATTGCATGCACGACCGGACAATGGGTAGTATTTGTTGTACCGAACGCGCGACGTGACCGAACGGACAAAATGCAATAATTATTATATTTTATACTAATATAAAAGAAGAAAACAATAATAATTGTATTATCGATAATGAAATTTCGACGAATAAAGAATACGAGAGATTTCCGGTTCGCTGTAAGAAAACATATAGGTAGGTACTATTTTAACACCTACTACATATTGGTCCATTTGGATTTATTTATTCGCGTCACGTCTCTTATGTCTGTGTACCTTCCTCTTGGTCGGCGGTGGCCGCTACCACAGCAATATTATAAGAACGCCGTAATTATTGCTTGGAAATAGCTTGCACGAGAATAATATACATATTTTTTGGCTGCTCGGCTACCATCGACCTCTTCACCGCACACTCAAGAACAATATTATTATGTAAGAGTAGTAGCCATGAGCACAATTCACGCGCGGCATACCGGGTGTACGGTCACAGCGCAGTATACGGTCACAGCACGGTATACGGTCACAGTACGGTATACGGTCACACAGCACGGTACGATACGAACGCATAGTCTATTTATAGTTATCGTGGTATCCATGTCGTCCGATCGTCCGTTTATAAGAAACTAATAGTTTAAGAAAACGTAAAAAAAAAAAATTAATGATAGGTAATAATAAGTAATCCTCCGCCCGAACGTACACAACGGCAACATCTTCGGCGTCCAGCAATCGAAGGTAGGTGGTGCATTATACAAAACCAATGACCGTAGATATATATATTTTTATTTAATAGTAAAAAGCCGGACTCGTATAAATTAATCATATGATAATAATGGGTTAAGGTGCCCGGAATGGGGAAAAGAAAAGACGGTTATCGTTCCAGCCAAGATATTTAATTAAGTTTAACGTGCATACGTAGTAGATATACTGCCCGCTGGGACGAAATAAAGTTTGTTTTTTTTTTGTTAATAATTTACGCTTTTGATAATAAATTATGATTCAATTCATTTTACCGTTTAAATTACGATAATATTGTGACAACGTTTTATAATAAAAATAACCCGCGAATAATATAATATCCATTCTGGTGCTACGGGATAGTTAGTTAAAGGTATGTAATATTCAAAATTGTTCCGGCTAACAACAAATTCCTTCCCATTTTACACAGACTTAGGACTGTCTAGAATATCTAGGTATGGTTAAAAATGTTGTTAGCCAGCAGTGTCGAGTTCGGATACCAAACAAATTATATACAGCTGTTTTATCTAGATGGGAGGTATGCCGGATACAGATAGACTATTAATTTAATATCAGCTAGAAATGAATTTAAGAAATTATTTTACTCGGGCGGAAGGGAACCTATTCGGCAAAGATAGACACAAACTTATTCGGCCACTTCAATATTAACACTGAACCAATAACATTTGGAAACCAATGGTGTGAAAATCAGTCGTTTTCGGTAGTCTACTGTGATTCAAGCTAGATTATGGAAATATTTTTTTTAATTCATTTAGTTTATTACATTGTACAACCACTTTTTTTGAAGTGGTTCACCTAATATCTCATAGGGTTTAATAAATTATTGATTTTTTTCCCTTAGGATGGGACGAAGGGTAAAGAGTAGTACTATTTTTATCTGCGCGCATTACTCAACCGCACTTCCCTTCTCGTCATAACTTTTCAACATTAAAAATAATAATCTAAAACTGGTTATCGACCAATTTAAGCTTTAACTAGCTATAAAATATTATATACGTTACCGTTTATGTTTCAAAAGCTAATATAAAAATGACTAATTTAGGAGGGGATAAAAATCCTTGGGAGTTGCGAGAAAAATCGAGATCACATTGTATATTAGATGTATGTAGATATTGTGTAGACTGTGGACCTCTTTAAAAGAATCACCTTGTAGTAAAAAATGTTTGATAAAACCAAAATAATTAATACACCATACGACAATACAATATGAAGGAGCGCTGACAAATTAATTTTACTGTTTATAAATAGGTATTAAATCATTTCATTAATGGCTTAGTGCATTGAAGTGTCCAAAAACGGAATCGGTCATTATGAGTTTAGGCAAAAATAGTTTAAGTCTGTATTGGCCAAAACAAGGTGTTGCCCTTTTTAGCAGTTTAATCAAAGCGGTTTTAGCAGTATCAAAAACACATCATTTATTTTTTGGATAGGTGGTAAGAAATAACATAATCATCATATTATAACCTATTCTAAAATTCCTTTTCAAAATATTATAATATTATTATGCAGAAGCCACCGCAACATAAATCCCCTTCCTCGGGACACAAATCTTGTTAAAAGTTGTAAGCCATCATACTCGTATAAGGTAGAAAAAAAAATGTGTTTATTATAAGTAACATGAAAATATTATTCTCTCCATGTACATTCTTACAATCTTCCTTGGGGGCGGCGGAATAGCTAATTTGGAAATCGGTATTTTGCGAATAGTCTAGATCATAATTAGTATAGCTTGGTGGCCTAATTGAAACTATCATTAAGAGTTGGACTAATGTCCTTTTTTTACGATTACTAATAATTGAAATTAAAATTTTCCTATCTTTTGGTTTATTGAAGTTTAAAACAATTTCATTGAATTTGTTTACTAAACTAATTGAGATTTGTAAAATTCTTTTTTTTCACAATTAAAGGTTTTTTGAGAAAATACAACTTCTTGCACAAAATCTGACACCGAACAAATTTAATATATTTCGGTTGAGTAAAATATACGTTGTAAGTAATAATTTTAACTGTATTATAATTTGTTTGTTTTTTTCCTCAAATTATGTTAGATCAATTCAATAGTTATATAATAAAATAAATATTTAGTTGAGCATAATATATTTTAACTCGTTTATAGATATTTTCATGTTCGAGTAAATAAGAAAATCATTTTAAATTTAAGTTATAATATAATTATTTTTTTAATTATTATTATAATACTACATCTCTCAACACTGAGGCAATGAACCCGACACACCTTACTTTGCAATATTACCTGATTAACTTTCGCCAAGTTTTACATGGTAGAATAATTATTAGAACAACTATTGTTATTGTCAATAAAATATATAATGTTTTCTTTGAATTTATAAGAAACGAAAAAAAATACTAATTGGCTTTAAAATTAATGTTTTTTTTTTAAAGTTATTTTTTTTGTATTTATTTACATTATTTAATTTAAACTAAAATAATATAATTTGCTTGAAAATTATTTTACATAAATGTTTTTCACGATGAGTTTTCAATACATTTACCACCAAAATAAAATTTACCCTCTACGCTTATTCATTTTTATTGTTATACTTTTATGCTTAATAATAATAATTACTTTATAAAAAAAAATTTTACACATACGTGTTTGAGATACCAAAAAATGTGTGCATTTGGTGTTATATATTTTTTTTTTCAATTAAAGCAAAATTCCTCAAAAACAACATGTGTACATTCTTGTACTTGTATTCTGTACAAATAAAATAATACATACCTCTCAGAGAATTTTTTTTTTTTTTTATAACAATAACATTGTATTTGATATGGAGATTTAACGAAATAGTTTGTCAATTCGTGCGAGCTGGTCAAAAACGTTTTTTTTTTTGGAACATTAGTATAAAATTTTTTTTAAAAAACGACCGTTATCGACAGTATAACCAGAACCGCCAACATCATAATATAATTTAAAGGTAAAAATATGTAATTTGTAAATAAAAAAACATTTTTTACAATCGGACGGAGTGTTATATTTTTTCCTGGATGTGATAATTATGTTTAATAAAATACCATAATTGTGTAATACATTTTTCTTTCTCTTTCGGCTTTGATACTATTAAAATTGTTTACCTCTTTAAAACCAATCCTTACCAAAGTCACAGTAATAACAGTTTACACGGCTGATGAGTCAATGTTTTTCATAATTGAATTTTCCACGGCGGCAGTTGACATGTTGATTTGAATAAATTCTGCAATTTTGACGAATAGGAAAACAGGTGGTCATTGAGGTTTTCCACTCCAGAAATTTGGATTAGGATTTGGAAAAATTTGATTAATAAAAAAAAACACGTTCCATTCATTTATAACACACACAAGTATATATTAAGTACCGGAAAAAACACTAATATTTTACATAATACATAATATTTTCATAACCAATTGGTTTTGTTTATTTTTTTTTACTACTAACAACAAAGTGAACGTCACTAATCTAAGAAAATTACATTATGTAATTGTTGTTTATAGTATAATAATATGATATAATATATTACCTACATGTTAAATTAATAGCTAACATTTTTTTTTTTGTACTAACGAATAACACGCTTAATAAATAGCATAAAAGACGTAAACGAATCAAGCAGAAAAATGTAAAATACATTTAATAATAATGGTAAAGTGTCACTAAAATGTATATAATATAGTTTAAATACACACTCATTAAATATTTCTAATAGAAATCACTACATTTTAAGCGTAAAAGTCACAATCATAGTGAAATAATCTTAAATACAATAATAATAATAATAATAATAGTAATAATAACTATGTAGTTGTATACACACAATAAATAGGAAACTAATTTTTACGTTTAAAGGTGGCTTCGGCGACCGTTTTCTTTGAGAAGAGATTATAAGATATTTCTACTGAATCTAATTTTTCTACTTTCTTAAAACATTTTTTTTTTTTTTTTTTGATCTCAAGTTGAGCTTTTATTTTGATAAATCGCAAACAATTCAACGGCCGTGGCGACCGTTCCTTGGGGGCGGGCGAGGACAACGGCAGCCTTTTGAGAATAATTTCCGGTAAATCCATTGGAACAGATCAGAGAGGGCCTTCAGTGGCCAGTAACACAGGATGCACGGTAAACACAAGGTGCACAGCGATATGCACGAAAATCGTTGCACCCTGTCCTGCGGAATGCAAGAGCATGGGTTGTTCATCCACAAATCGGTGGTGGTCTCGTCTTCTCTCGGGTAACAATGGTATACTGAAGCTCTGTAGCAGCATATGCACGAGAGCCACTCGACGCACGACGTGGGATTCACGTACAAGTGATCGCCGCAAATGGAACATCCGCGTATTTTGCCGGAGACGTGGCAAGCGTTGCAGCGGCACTTATGGCATATCGGGCAAATGATGGACTTGTGCTGTTGCTGTGTCCCGCGTTGCGGCGGCGGCGGCGGCGGCGGCTGTTGCGGTGGCAGAGGCTGTGCGTCTTGCTGTGGCTGTTGCGGCAATTTCGGTTGTTGCGGCTTTATCGGTGCATTTTGATCTTCCTTTTGGATTTTAGAATCCACCGATTTAGTAGCGCCGCAGCTGTCGCTTCTTTTGATTCCATCCTCCTTTGGCACCGACGAACGTGGCTGAGTGGCCGGCGCTGTCGGATTGCCAGAGTTGTTAGGTCTGGCGGATCCACCGGAAGCGTTCAAAAACGGAGTCTCCACGTACTCGTTGGTCGCGCGTTGGTTCTGTGGCCTGGGAGCTTCCAATGTGACCACAGCAGATTTCTGCTGTCGTTTCTGGCCACTGGCAGTTTGCGGCTCGTCGGCACTCGCCATTGTAGATGAACCGCCGATTGGCTGAGGCCGTCGGCCACTACCGCTTGACGAAACGGTAGAAGAAGTAGAAACGGATGGCTCTGGGGTTCCGCGTTTGAAGTGGACACGGGCAAAGTTCTCAGACCGGTAAGACCTTTGTGCCATGTGATCAGTACTATGAACCAATTAAATGTCAATATCTGAGAACAAAAAAATTAATAAAATTACATTATTCTGGAGCACTGCTTATATTATGTGCAGACAAGACCCGATTTAGTAGAAAAAAGATAATTCCAGAAATAAAAGAAGCCCTATGAAATAAACGTACAGCGAACAGTGTCGAAGAAATCAGCGTTTTTTTAGACTTTTTTCAAATATCATAAGAGGACATACAGGACGATATACTATTGTATAAAATATATTTTAATGATAATATAGTGCAAGTTAGGCAGAACACATCCCTTCAGCTGACTCCCCATTATTTTATTTGTCGTGACGATTTTTCTCAAGTGTCACACCGGAAACCTATTCCATATAGAACTCAAATATAATCTTTCCCGTGCACGCCGTGTTACCACAATAATAGGACTGATTAGATTTGTTTTCACCTAACTTGTAACCAAAGAAGTCTGATTTGATCATTTCAGTAATTATTGTAACATATTTATTGGACCATTACCTCCCTCAGGAATTCACTCAGAAACTCTTCATTAATTCACCAAATTGCAAAAGATTAGTACACATAATCGAAATCTTTAACGTTTTGATGGTACTACTGTATTCATTTTATTTCAACAATTAATAAAACAGTGAGACGACTAGTAGTGCTAGATAACAGCTGGTAACATTAGTGTGTCCTATTCACATTAGCCTTTTATTTTATCATATCGTTAACAATAATTATGTGGTGATGTGTTCAGTTGAGAAAAACTAAGAAACACATAGGAAACGCAAAGTGGGCAAGGCTTAAGAAACATTAAAAACAATCGCTAAACACATCCCAGCAGTGGTCTAATCAGTTAATCCACATAATCTATGCCAATAATGTGCTGCGTACTCAGACGAACGTTAAATAATGTGCGAATTTCGGTGAGACAAACGATACACTATTTGAATTTTGATAGTAGATTGGGATTGGAGGGGCAGACGAGCCAATCCGTCCAACGAAAGCGATAATTACAGTCATAAAATTTAATTTGACCAAATTAGACTGGGCGGACGTGATTTTCTCGGCGTTAAACGTTCGTCTCTCTTATTTATTATAGAATAAAAAAATCTATTCGAGAGGTTCGGGCGAGGTTTGGAAAGGCAAACTATACCTATACGGAGATCGTAAGTTTATTTGTGTGTTGTAGAAAATATTATAACGAGTCTGTGTTTACCGAGCGAACGGATCGGCGATAATAATTATTATTTAACGTTTGATTTGCAGCGTGACACCGCCAGCCATTATATAGAAACATCGCCCGCCGTTTTGATAACCTGGTAACCGGTATTTACCAGAACCGCGTCCCGGACAAAAAAAAAACCGTAATAAGTCTCAACGATTATGTTGTCGGATCCGAAATTACCGTTCATTTATTATAATTATATTAATAATTTTCCTAACGAGTTTTACACAAATTAATTATGACCGTACTGAGACCGCCTTCCTTCAGACCCATTAAGCTGTATAACGACCCAAAATAAATCTCACGTGGTTCCCGTCCTTCGGAATACCTCAACAACTAAGCTGTGGCCGAGGTCAGTGGACATATATATTATTATTATTATTATTCCTACGGGTTAACGCGATGACTTGTGGATATTAAGTTTTAACCAACAAACCAACAAGCAACGAAATAGACGGATTTTGCCTGTGGGAAATGGGAGACTCGATCTCAACTCAATTCAATCATACCACAATTTCAGGATGTGTTCTCGATTTTTTTTCACGAGGACATTACAATTTAGTTAAACGTTTATAGGTTCATACAAGTCACAACCTTGATTTATTATTGACGTTGATTAAATTATGACTAGGATTGGGGCATAGTGGGGACGGAGCATATTGTAATGGGAGGGATCATAGATCTATAGAAATGTTTAAGACTGAAAGTGATAAAATCTTTGTCAATAATGTGCTAAAATTGTATTTTTAGTATTAGGGTAGGTACGATTAGGGTTGATGTTGAGTAGGTCTGTCTGTAACAATTTGTTGTCGTAGTTATTCATTCATTATGAAAGAAACAAGATTATGAAAATGTTTTTCGGATTGTTGATTCACTTACACATGTCCACCTGAAAACTGACTGCGGTCAAAGTGTAATTATCGCCTATTTTTTTGGTTTTCCTTAATAAAAGAAAAGTTTGACTACAGATTTTTGAGAAAATTATACATGTTAGGTATAGCGCCATTCTAGACTTACCTTTGGTCTAATTTTCGACCCAAAACTTCACCTAAAAAAAGAAAAAAATTCCATCGAAGCTAAAACTATAGTTGGCAGTAATTTATTAACATACAAAACTGAAATCTAGAGATATTAAAATAAATTTCCAACCGGTTACAAAATACAATCAATAAATAGTATTCTTTAAATCGTCGTGTCATAATGGTTCGGTTATTCAAAACCGATTACCTATATAATATATATAGGTCCTCGTATCAATATATGCAGCACATTGAACCAAGTTCTTAGTTCATTTCAATACTGCAAAATGTCATTATGTATGCAAAAAACATTTTAGGAGCCAATTACTGGAAAACAGCTGTGATGGACTTGGTTCACTTTTGCTCTGAATCCTCTATATGATAAATAACAATATATATTTTTGTGATAAAGTTTTAATGAAAAAAGGGCATGCAAGATATACTTAGATAAGGGTTGCACTAAAAACGGGATCTATCCGCCGTTATGTTGATAGTTTGGAAAAAAATTAGTACCATTAAAATGTTCATAGGATATTATTAACGAATTTCAATTATCTATACCCATTTGAACTATCAAACTTCTTGCGTAAAACGATGAAAGGTTATTGAAAATTACGTCTAGCAATAATAATTGAGAAATCACGATCATGAGAAAAAAAAGAATAGGCTGTAAGTATATATCTATATGTATGTAGGATCCAAGAGATAACCTTAGATAGGTATTAAAAAAAAGTTATAGCTAGGTAAAAAAATACAGGAAAAAATACTATATCTTATGGCAAATATGTGAACTTAAATTATTTAATTATATACCTATATATATTAAACATAAGATTAATATTTGTTGACTGAGCAATGCATATTGTATTGAATAGGTAATGAAAAATAAACAATTTGCTGTAATTTGTCATAAATAATATTTAAATATTTATAATGTTATAAATATTTTATTTTATTAGTTCAACAAAAGTTAAACGTTCACATTAGTATAATACACAAATAGTGAAATATCTAGGAATTTGTATTTACATGTTGCTGGTAATTATAAATTTTAATGTTTTATACTATTTTTGTTTTGAATGATCAATCAAACGATTTTGGTGAACGCTTTTCGAAACATTCAGTACGATAAGTTGCTATAATATAGTTGAATTGCATCGAGTGCTAATAAAACCCATCTAACAACATTAGGTTGTATACTACATTAGGTTCATGCAAAACAATAATTATATTGTAGCATAATATTTACAACAATTCAATCAATTTACCAAAAAATAATTATAAATGAAAACTATCTAGATTTCAGAATCTTTATGTATTCTTTTAAAAAATGTAACAAAACTATATGCAAATATTTGGTCAACAATAAATAACTACAAAGCAATTGAAAAAATAACAGATGTTAAGTCATATGAACATTTGTAGTTTTTTAACAGAAGTCATAATGAAATTCAACGCTAATGGTCGAATATCACACAGGTAGTGAAAAATTATAATAAACACAAGTACATTGTAGTGGACTAATATGCGCAGCCATTGTAATTGACAATAACTTAAAAAGTGATAAAAAAAACTTTAAAGGTTACAAATGTACAAACTATTGTTGATTATTAGTTGAAAAAATTCTACCAAAATATTACAAGATTGTTGTGTGCTTTACAAACTATCAGCTTACTAAATTATCAAGCATTTATTTAACTCTAAATAGGTAAATATTACAAAGGTTAATACTAAATAAATGATGTTAATGCGTATCTATTAAGGCTCGATCAATGTTTGTGTACCTCGCAAGACCAAACTTTAACTACTGTATTCTCCAAGGTACTCAAAATAAATACATAAAAACTGTTTCTACAAAAGTGTTAATGTTACTACAATGAATCTATATTGTTATCTACGTTATGAGTTTACGAATGACGCAACTAGGAATGATTTTTGGTAGGAGACCTTTTAAATGGAACTCCATTTAAAACAATTTTACTCTGTTCTAGTTGCACTATCGTCATCAAAATAACAAATGAATCTACTTACGGCTTTTGAAGAATCATACGTTAACGACACATGCCATTGTAGTCCTCGACGTCAAAGCGGTGATCGACAACGGTCCGTTGGCTGTGTTCGACTTATGATACGGTTTCCTAAACGGTTCGCCTACAACACGATTAGGATATAATGAAATATATTATTAATTTATAACTGATTTTTTTTATTTCACGATGTTGCTATAACCGACTGTTGTTTATTGTTGTTCAAAAAATAATGGTAAAAAAACGGAATAGGTGTTTAGTATGTTTTACCTCGCGCAGTACGGATAAGGGCCGTTTGCTGATAGCGAAATCGTTGATAAAAGTAGGTAACCGGAAAATGTTTTTCGCTGACGAGAAAAAATAAGGAAGTAAGCAAATAAATAAATAAGTTAGTGTGATCGAATAGTAAAAAAAATACAAGCGAGTTTTGCGAATGTCGATTTACCGGTGGGACGATATTCAATACGTCGTACTTGTAGAACGCGTGGCCACGAGTGTCGAGAAATGAGCGTCAATGAGTGAACTACCGCCACGGCTGCCCACGACGAGCAGACTGCCAGTGGCAAACAAACGTAGCGATAACGTACCTTCGGTGTATGCGGGGCCGACTGATCTGAACGTAGGTCGCAGACACCGGTGCCGGAGAGCTACGCAGTACGCACACTGTGGTCGTTGTCGTCGTCTTCGCCGCCGCCGCGCCGCCTCGTCGAGACCGATGGATGCCGCGCGTTTGCGTCGCACGACCGCGGCTTTGGAGGTGGTAAACGGCGGGCGGTACCTACTGCGTAGTGCGTAGTTTGTAACGGCGGCGCGGCGGGCGCATTACCGCGGGAGTAAAGTACGTATAAGTTTTGCCTTCGACCCACGACGATTCTACCTCCATAGCGACGGACGGCATAATATTTAGCCAAGCCCTTATATAATATATTTTTCATTTAACTTTCCACCTAATCGCTTCAAAATAATGATACAAATAATGCTAATATTTTAGCACTGTTCCTGTAGTATCCATACCAGAGATTATACTGATATGCGGATTTCTGAATTAGATATTTTTTTTCTTTTAAATAAAAGTTAACTAATAAAACTGTATTATAATACTGTAAAAAACAGTATTATAATCTACATATAATTGTATTATATGTAGATTGTAGGTACCTATAATAATTTAGATTGGAAAAAATAAGTACATTTTGAAACTTAACCCTAAAATAACTGAACAGAGAAAATTGTTCGATAAGTAATGCATAATTTTATCATTTTTTTCATAAGTATCATCTGTGATACTGTATGCAATAAACACACCCATGTATGTATCACTTATGATACACTATGCATTGTCGAAAGACAAAGTAAAAAACAACTGTTTCACATACCTACAGACTACAGTACTTAAATTAATGTTTTTCAAATGTTATATAAAGTGTAGTTATTTGTTAAAGTATGGAATTTAAATAATAAAAAATTTTAATTATTTTAATATGTTGCTAAATATTAGTACTATAAGGTGATACATTTACTTAAGTCCCACTCAGACTATACATTTTAAATATAAATGAAAAAACTATTTTTTAAGTATACACTAACCCTTTTAACATTTGAAAAACATTTTTTTAGCAAATCCATTATGGTGAAAATTAGTTAATGCATTGTAGGGTTAATAGTATATTATTAGACCTTTGATGTGCGTATAATCTGGGATCATCCCAAAACCAGAATGTCAGTTCTAGCGTTTATTATAAAATAAATTATTTATAATCAATAGTATTATAAATAGAATTCAAACAAGTTTATGGATACGAGATAGGTCCTAGTGACTAGTCATGCAGCATACTATGAAATTAAGACAGCAAAATGTGAATAAACAAAAATTTCGAATTAATCAAAAACTCACTTTACTACTAGAAAAATAAACACAAGGTTAAAATCCATCAAAATCATAAAATGATTAAATCCATCCACTTTACGCAATACCTTCTCACACACTTTAATGTTGTATAAGAATGACTATTGATAACAAATTAAACATATCTAGGTACCTAAAAAGTACTATTAATACTACTAAAGTTACTAAGTTTTTTTTGACAAGTATTATTACCATATTCATACGCATTACTCATTAGCATACCTTTCAAGCTTCAAAAGTTAACAAGGCCTAAAAAAAATAATAGGTACATTTGAAAATGTGCAAATATATTTTGGTGACCTAGTGGTTTATGCAGAAGATGATGTTGAGCATGATAACACCTTTCAACTAGTAAATAGTAATAGATAGAACAAGAGAAAATAATTTTAAATTTAATATTGAAAAATTGTAAAATATGGTACATGAATCTAAATTGTTAGGTATGATTTTTTTCTGAAACGGTAATGTACTTTAGACAAAGTTAAATAATTTTAGAATTGAAAGACCCTAGAAATAAAAAAGTGTTATTATCAATATTAGGCATGTTCAACTACTTAGTAAATTTATTCATAATTATTAAAATTTAACATAAGTGCTAAGACATTAAATAAAAAAGGAGTTTAGGTAAACTTGGGTTTAATTTTGGGTTAACTTATGGTTATATTTTTGTAAAATCTCGGTAAAACTAAAATAAAATGTTGGTTTCTAATGCTTTTTAGTCTTTATTTGTGCCATGAAAAAGGAGGTTGGGTAAACTTGGGGTTAACTTAGGGTTATATTTGTGTAAAATGTTGCTAAAATCTGTGTAAAATTTTGGTTTCATGTACTTCTAGGTTATATTTATGGCATGAAAAAGAAGTTTGGGTAAACTTGGGATTAACTTAAGGTTAACTTGAAATAATTTGAAGTTAACTTGGAGTTAAATTGTAGAAGTGGTCTGTAAATGTATATTTTAAACTACTTTTAGTTAATCTTAAGTTGACCCAAACTCCTTTCTCACACAATAAATATAGTCTAGAAACTATAGAAACCAAAATTTTACTTAGATTACTCAAGGTATACTCAAAATACTTGGAGTATACTAAAATAACTTGGGTTGTACTCAAAATCTATGGGATATTCTCAAATTACTATGGTCGATTCTTTTAACGAACACAATTTTTGGTCAAAATAAATCTCTCGGGTCCAGATCAATGTGCACGTGTGTCATGGAATCGTACACTGAAGTATCGATTAATTTTAAATAATCAAAGTACTGTTATTGTTATTTCTGTTGACTTGGCATCTTGACCAACTGTTGTCACAGATATATATATATAATAAACTAGATTGCTAACTAGCGATAAGAATCGAAGCCGACGGTCCGCCATTCTGGTGGGATTTATGTGTGTTATTATCAATGCATACAATATATATCTGTGTATATTATTATATATATATATATATATATATATATGTGTGTGTGTGTGATTGTTATAAACATATATTATTACGGTAATAAGGTTCTAATTCCCACCAAGATGGCGGAAAATGCTGCTTCAATCTTCTTTATTGGTGGCATGGACACTTAGCAATCTAGTTTATTATAATATATATCTATGACTGTTGTAGACATAGATAATAAATGAATGGATAGGACATAAACCCAAATAGTTGGTTCTCAAATGATAAGAAACTGAGGCGATTTTTTTTTCCTTTCCATGACATAAATATTTTTTTCTATTCTTTAAAAATTTAAATTTAACCGAGGTGATTTGAAATTAATGAACATGAATGAATAAACCATTTGGATAACATTTTATTTACAATTTATTTATAACATTATAAATTTAAAATTAATTTTAACAAAATTTTTAAAAAAAGTTGTAGTTTATTCATGCCTAAAATGTATAAGTTTTGTAAATTTTGAACGCATTGTGATGTTATCATTCACTTTCCTGACCTCGTGAAAAAATCGTACTTTGTAGTAAGTTTTACAAATGGTAGTAATAAGTTCATCACGATGTGTATGAAATCGAATTGTTTGGTCAAACAACACATTTGATTCATTGTTGACACATTGCATGTTTTCAAAAATTGAAAAATTTGTTTTAACTTTGATTACTTAAGTACTTAAGTAGACAGTATATTATAAAACCGTAACGGGCAACGGCAGTCGGCAAATGGATAATGTAAATAATTGATAACATAAATATTGATAATTCGCCTCAGTTGGGCGCCATTCCGGAAACCTCGCCTCACATGAGATTGTCTATGGGCATGTTCTATCCATTCATTTATTATCTATGGTTGTAGACTGGTAACTACTGATGCTCATATTCTGTACACTTATTTGACAACTAATATTCATGCTTAGTTTGTTTTAATTTGCCAGTTCCCCTTCGTAACTTTATTTAATTCCTCTTGAAGATCATTATATATACTTTTATTGATTGCGCATGTGCATGGTCCATCGATTTGACCCCACCCGTGGGGCGTGGAATTACAAACACAATTCGAATATTTGCCATCGTTATCCGCTGTCGAAAATCCACATTGCTGGACCATGTTTTCCATCATTGAATACTTTCTAGACATTTTTGCAACTCTTTTGAAAAACGTGTTCCGTTTTGGAAACACTATAAATAATCTTTCGAGTTGTTTGTCAATTTTTCGCAGCTAGCCCATCTTGAATTCCTACTCGCACTTAACTAAAACTTAATCGAAACTTTTGAAAAACTCAAAATACAACATAATCATTATCGCTATTGATAGATAACTATAACGTATCACATATGTCGTACAAACTGAACATCCGCCGCCACCGCCCTTGATATCGACCGTGAGGGTTAAACAAGTCAATGAAATGTATGTGTGTTGCCATTTAAGTTTCAAAAGTTGCTATCAAAAAAACTAAGTTGTGAGGGGGGTACAACCAATAAGAAATTTGAAAAATTAAGATCACGTTCTATAAAAACATTATGAAAAAACAAAATTAAATGTATTATTAATTGAGAATAATGAACTACACATTTTGAAAAAAATTAATTATTACAAGTGCACTACGTCCTACACCGTGAAAAACAGCTTCACGTATGTAGTTTTAGTTTTTTATTGATAGTGGTTATTTTTATCAAATGTATTGTACGTCATTTACATTAGTCGAATTTATTGTATTATTATAATTATAATATTAGTAATACAGTTGATATTGTTATGCCTTGTAATATTATTCCTTATTTTACATTGTGGTCCTGCCATCTATGTACGTTAGTGTGTTAACGTTTGAACACGATTCAGCGCAATCGGGACGCTAGAGGTCGCCACGTTTTCTATATTTTCTATATTATTATTTCAATTGGCCTTAAGCTGTTTATAAAGAAAGTATAATATGGACAAGAAGTTGAATATTCCACGCTGAACACTTATCGTTGCCTAGTGGCTACATTAAAATCCGAGCCATTAAACTATTAGTGACGAATGACGATGAAAAGGTGACACTTTCAAGTCAAACAACAAACACATGGAAGTTAACACACGGAATTAATCATAATCGAACACAATTACAATAAAATAAAAATATTAAAATAGCGTGATACTCCCCACGTATCGGACGGATGTACACAGGAAAGTGAAACTATTCTATGAGAACTATCCCAAGAGAATGCGACATAGTAGTTTGGACGGCTTAAAGTATTAGCGAGCAATACTATCTTTACGATTTTTTTCTTTTGTGTTGTCCTACATTTACTGCTTATGTACAATTGTCGCCTTGACTACAAAGTCTATATTCTAATACTATAGGTGTAATAGTATAAATTACTTTAAGTTTTTCCAAAGAAGTATGCAAGAATAACATATGACGGCACAAATTAATGTAATAATTGTAATTATTATTATTTATATAAACTCACATATAATTTATTTTAGGGTTGAATCTAATCACATAAACGCTTTCCTCGGGATATAATGTGTCTCGAGAAAAGCGTTTTTATTATGTACATATTATTAAATATTATAAGTTTAATTATTGTTGTTTAAAACTGGTTATCAACCAGTCAAAATATTAGTAAAACATTCTTGATATAAAACGTTAATAAAATATACACAGCTGAAGAGATAACCCTAGTAAAAGCCAAACAATATGAATATAATATTATGGAATACAGAAAGGTGGCGAGCTCTAGCGAACCAAATGAGCTCTGAACCATATTCTGTTCAAACATCAACACCGTAATGTAGATGGCAGAACGACAATGTATCATTAGAATTTATAAGACCTAAGAATATCGTCTGTATTAATTATTGTTTATTATCATAATCGGCGGATATCATATGTCATGAAATATGCAAAATAATAAATATTAATCAATTATTAAACAATACAGTAAATATAAGTGTGGAAATAAGATGTTCTAAATTAATACGATCTTAAGTCTTATTAGGTGTTAAGAAACAAGAAAATTAAATAATTTAGAATTATAACGCCATGATTTATTTAAGGTATAATCGGTAATTTTTTTATTTCTGATTTTGGGTTTCAGTTTATTGTTTTAAGTTCAAGCTACTCTCAGCATGAGTAAAAATATCTAAGTACCTACTATAGAACTTTATCTGCAATGGTCTAAATAAGTAAATAATATAGCAAAATACTGGGGGTGCTAATGTTGTACTGGGATTTTTGCCTATGTTCCATTTAGTTTATATAAACTATAGTAAATGTATAGGTACCTAGTTGTTTTTAGTCTTTAACTAATACGTATAAAAAAACCACACCAAAATTTACTTCCCATTTTTGTGTAATAAAACATTGCAATCAATACACTGTAACATTTATTTATTTATACATTTTTTAACTAAGCTTCAGCAACTTTGATCATTAGTTGGTTGATTTGTTGTCTAATGGTTTATTTTTGTTGGTTTTGGGTTTGTGTAGGTCTGGAACATGTGAGGTGGGGACATAGCATGGATAACTGCTAAAACTCAGAGCGTCACCGCTTTCCACCAAAGGTTATACTCCGATTTCCGCCAAAATAAATCAACATTAGTTACCTACCATGTTTTAAGAAACCCTGAACCTAATTTTTTTTTAGTCTTCTAAATTAAATTTATGTATTTTTTGAAAATATCCCGAATCGATATTTATTTTCTTAACTTAATAAACATGTCATATGATAATATCATCTATAAAAATATATTTACAATAATATCATTTCGTCAGTGGAAAAATCACATTGTTGTTTGTTTATTGTATTTTTTAAAACCAACTATTCAAATATAAAGTGCCATTTTTTTTATTATTTTGGAAAAACTTACAGCCTTTCTTGATTCTACTCTTTTATTATGAACATAGTGCTGTCCATAGACGTATCATAGATAGACAAATTATTAATTCAGAGCCTGTAATCGAAAAGCAGTAAATGGTATTCTAGATTTAGTTTCAGGGGTTCTTAAAAAATACTAGGTAACAAATTTAGATTTTATTTTGGCGGAAATAGCTATAGTGATAACGGACGAGGGTCATTTTGGCGAAAAACGGAAACACCCAAAATTCCCAGGTGTCTCGTGTCAGCTAGTGTGTCCATTACGCCAAACCTGCCTTATATCATTTATTACAGAGTTTGCAAACCTATTTGTATTATTATTGTTTTTAGTATTCGTCTAATATTATTGTTGTGTCTATAAAATTCTTATACTTAAATGATATTATAAAACAAGTAAAAAACATATACGGGTTTTTATATTTTACACTGTCATTATTGTAAGTAAAGGGAACACATCTTTAAATGTATTATATTAAAATTGTTTATTGAATAATAAGTATATGTTAATTTTTTTTTTTTTATATATTCAATATTCATTAGAATTTTATCATTATAAAAAATATTATGAACATTATGTGTTGATCCAATGGCATATTTGTTTAAATATTGATAATATTTGAAAAAGTTTCAACGATTTTTCAAAATATACAAAAAATGTTATCTGGACCACAGATTACCGAATATATAAATGTAATTTATATATTCTGTGGTTAGACTATTTTTTTTTGTCAAATGTAATACATTCATATTTAAGCCAAACAAATATAGGTACTGTCAGAAATTTAAGACGATTAAATTAAAAACACTCATTCAAAACTATAATAATATACATTTTTAATCAATGAAGGTAATATGAAATATGATGTACCTAAAATACAGTATTATTTATTGTATACATTGTTATACATTTCGCTTATTTTTGGAACTATTATTACAATGTAATTAATTAATAAATGTAATATTAAAAAGTATCGATATAGTTAATCGTAAAAATACTTACAACATAAAACTATTAAAAGCAATGTGGATACAATGATGTAAACAAATGCAATATTTGAAATTAATAAAAATCCAATTATAATTTTCATATTATGAAGTTGGGCTACATTTTATAAAAAATAATCACTTGTTAGTCAGAAATTAAATGGCTTACAAATATTCTAAGTCTATAATAAACATTTTTTCAGTATTTTATTTCATTTTATACAAAACCTAAAGTAGATCTTAGTTCGGTCGGCATGTGGTGCATTGCATTTCCGACGTGCTTAGAAGACGGTATGGTAGACTATTCTCCTGTCCAGTATTTACAGTATTTCAATAATGTTTAAACAATATAAAGTTAGCCATTTACTTTATTTTTAACTAATTGTAAAATTTGTTTGGAATATAATTAAAAATTTGTTTGGGCAACTGATGTAAGCATTCTTTGCAGGATCAATGCTAGTATTTAAGTCACAACTTACGGTCTAATATACATAAATATAAATATAATATTTGCGACTAAAACTGACCAAAAGGTACCTAATAGCCTCGTTTCTGTTTAACAATTATGAATACTAGAATTAATACCTATGTGGGTAATAATATTATTACATTAGTAACTAAGGCCTTATTGTAGTCAAAATGTATACATAATAATTTATGTAACAATTAATACATATTATGTTAAATCTACTTATTTAAAACTTATATTGATAATAAAAACTAAAAAGAACAAAAGTGATTTTTTAGGAGAGTACTTTGAGGAACACTTCAAATATTATACTTTTAATGCAGTTAAAATATAATATCGATATTAATTTATCATTATAAGTACTTACACTTATTAATTATATATGTTATTTTATTATGATTTCAAAAACAAAAGTTTAATTAATTATTTTACTATTTTTTTTTCTTCAACAACTCCCTCACACTCATAATTCAATAACTATTATTATACATTTGAAGTACAATATTATTAATTTAAATTTAATAATTTATTATTATTAATATCAATTAAGTGTCGTATGTGCCTAACATATATGCGTAACATATATGCCGGCAAGTGAACTTAAAATTGTTTTATTGTCAAACGTCACTCCCCATTGATAGGGCCAGTTTTTTTTTTAATTTAATATAAATTAAATACATAAAGATACATTTTATTATTAACTTAAATAACATAAATTATTAACGTATTGTAAAAGGTTCTGCACAAAAATCAGAGGCTTGAATAGATTTCATGTCCAAGATTCTAAAAGGTATTTTTGTTTAAAATATTTTGATACGTATGTGTATCAAAATTTAAAAAAATAATTACCTACTGTTATCAGTTTACCTAACTTTATGTTATCCTAAAATATTTTTAAAAATCAGTCATCAGATTTTTGCGCAGAGCTCTTCAAGTTTTAAAGTTAACTTGCACAAATAAACGAACAATAGTTTAACTAGATACTACATATTATTATCTAATTTCCTTACTGACTAAGTAATACTATATTTAATGGAAGACATGGTGATTTCATTGCTTTTACAACGACACGCATGACACGTTCGTGTTTACTTATATTAACAACATTACTTAAATTAGCGCTTAATGAAATTAAAAAAAAAAAACAATAATATTTACCTACGTACACGGTAACGAAATCAGTCTTTTCGAATCGAACAATTAAAGAAATGCAAAAAAAATAATTCGACTGGCTTTTTGCTTTCCAAAATCAAAAACCAGAATCGCGTCCGTCTAACTTAACGATTTTGGTCACAACTAACGACTTAATCTTAATCATATGTTTATAACATTTTGTTATTCTTGGTAGAGTAAAATAATAGAATAATAAGAACAATAAAACAGAAGAAAGGATCAAGGAAGGTTTTTGTCAGGAGGGGGGGGGGGTGGGGTGTTAAGGTGAGTCTGAAAGAAACATCGCATTTGTTATAAGACAACTCATGTTTCTTCTTCTTTCAACCAACGGCCAACCTCCATCCTTATAGATGCTCGTAGATGAGTTTTTTGCAATACACCGCCAACGCTGCTTCTGTACAAATAACAATATCATTGATCTATTAGTTATCATTGATTTATACGTATGTTTTTAGCAAAAGACGTTATATATACTACATGATGGTCTAGCCCATGCCAGAGTAGTATTAGGTTTTATATTTATTAGTACAGTGTGATTTACTAAGATTGAAACACTCATTGTTTCTTATAAGAAATAGTAATTTTGTAATTTCTCTTTTTTTTTTTAATGTTTAAGTTATTATTTATGCTACACACAAAATAAAATCAACATTATTGTACTTAAAAATTAAAATTAACATAATAACATAATTAACAAATCAACATATGAGTACATTAGATATTAGAACATAAGTATCTATAACATACAATTATCATATTGAAACAACATTTAACAATTACAATATCAATCGTATTGTAATTGTTATTTATTGTGGCCGTATAAAATAGCCAATTACCGTTTATTATTTATTACCATTTCATTTTTAATATAGATAGATGAGCAAAAACAATTTTGTGTTGTTCCAATTTATTAACGATACAACATGTGCAGCGGTCCATATTGAGTGGGCGCTTACAAATCGACCCTCTGAAAACGTTAAAGTGCACCATTTGCTACACCAATGCGCACGCTTGAGATTTCACAATATTATGAAATTCCTAAGTTCCCTAATTTTATTATTATTTTCTAGAGCTCATTCAACTAATGTTCTAAAATTATTTAAATTAAGAATAATTTTCTGACAATATCGACTGATCGATAACCAGTTTTGAATAAACTTACTTTTAAAGTTATTTAAGTTTTAAAATTTACTGTTGCAAAGGTGTAGTGTAGTATTATTATTTTTATCTGCACGTGTTACTGAACCGCATTCCACCTTCTACCTTATATTATATTTTATATTTAAATGGTAACGAATATATTTTAAACTAAGATTAATTTAAGGAATACATTACTAAATTCTAATATTTAAGACGAGAGGCGGAATGTGATTAAAATAATACTTCAGTCGTCCTATCCTTCCATCCTAAACTTAAATCTCTGATAACTTTAAAAATTATTATGTAAATCTCGTTATCGACCTATCAACATTTTCAGCAAACTTTTCTTAAATTTAAAGTTTTTTGTAGATTAAAATTTTTTTTTTTTTTTTGTGTAGTCAAGAGAGTTAAAATTTTTTAATAGGAAAACCATATAATAATTTCCCATATAAGTATATTCACATTTTGTTCATCATTTAATCTCTACTTATTATTAATCCCGTTTATTTCCATTCCGAATAATAACTTTCAATTGAATATAAAATATAATTTGTATTTGTTTTGTCAAACATTACCTTTGAACCGCGTACGGTTTCGGTGTGAATGTCCCAGTCATTTTGTTTGTTAGTAAATAGGGTTATTATGTTTCCTGTAAATAAAACAATACATTTATAAAGTAATAATTTTAATTATCCAAATAATTATAAACTTTTTTCATATGAAAATAATGAGACTAATAATTATTTTAACAGCTGCTATATTTATCGGATATTTTTAAGACCTTTGCGCCGTAGAGCCAATTTCAACAATATATTGTGTTATATCCTACATTATGTTTAAAGTACTTTATCTTTCACAAAAGACACCTGCAGTTTTACCCGTCGAAGATTAATTCGTTGAAGTAAACGGACCATGCAATAATTTCCTTTGACCTCGTCTTAAATGCAGAGAAGATATTCAGATATTTTATGGTGTAGTACCAATATTTCTTTTCTGTTGATAATTTATTTTCATTAAATAAAAACTTGTGACACTAACTGTCCATGTTAATTGTTATGAATATAGTAATTTTTTCTTATTATAAAATATAATTTACAATTATCTTGTCAAAAACAAATAGTTTTATCATGTAAACCTTAAAACTTAAATTATAATTTAGACATACATTTTTTTTCATAAGACATTTTTTTGCTTGCAATTTCATTATTGTAAGTAGAAAATAATTTGTACAAATACAAAATGTTGTTTTCTATCAATGCATCTATCTAATATTGAGTTATTATATTTTTTTTATCTGTTATAATACTAAATATTAAGAAGGCGTCGCACCGCCTATTTTTAAGGAGTAAAGTATAGGCAATTTTTCACAAAATCTTAATTTAAAGGTTAAACTGTGATGTGTAATTACTAATTATTAGTTCAATAACTAGGACTCTATTTTGGTAGTTAATTTATTTTTTGGACTATCACAGCATCCTTGAAAGCAATTTAAAAATGTTTTTTCATCTCTACATGTTTAAGCAGACTGAAAAAAACTCGCTTAATTTTGGTTTTAGAGTAAAAGCACCCATTATAAAATTAAAAGAGAACAATATTCCGGAGAACAAGACGGTGCGGTTTTTTTTCATTATTCCAAGTATAACGCTCAATACATAGTTTAGAAATAACGACTATTTTAACATTTTTAAATGACTGTAACTTTTCAAAAAATTATTTTGGAATGACATAGATACCTATTTTAACGTTATTTGTTTTAATATATTTTTACTTTATTCGCTTTTTTTTTAATTTACTGAATTAAATGTTATTATCAAGAACAATTAAGTTATAATAAATTCGTAGAAGGTTGGTAATCAATGTTTTTTTCTTGACACTAATCATTTTTAAAACGTAAAAAAAAATATTTAATCGTTGCGCAAACTTTCTTCTCCGTTTCGATCATATGAGATCCAAGTGACAGTGATAAAATATTATATACTTAGAACGTGTACGTTATTGTTTTGTCCTATTATTTATCATATCGTGTACGTGAGTGTCCTAAGGGAGCGCAATATAGTAGGTATGTTGCAGATCCTGCTATTTATAAGCAACCCTCGGCAAAATGACTTTGGAAACACAAGGATTTGGAAGGATGATGTTGACAAATACACATTGGAGGGGGCAATTTGCAATGATGTATGTATACCGTTACACTTTTCGACCCTTCGAAAGATTTAATAGCGCTCTGGCAGGCCCCGTGACGTATTATAGAAGTGTTATAAAAAAAATGATATCGTTCGTTTAAACAAAATGTATTATGTCGAATCGCCGTAAGATTAAACACTTAACCGAGGACTCGGTGCTTTTATGAGAAATGCCAGTATTACTTTTTGGCCACCACACGTCAGACTTATATAGAAATATACACTTTTAAACTTTCCCTGAAAACTACACAGCCAAATAAAAAAATATAAAAATTGTATTGTTCTTTTTTTAACATTTGTGGAACTGATAATGACAACGTATTAAAAGACACTTATATATATATATATATATCGTCTAATATATCATGATAAAATATAATATGTAATCGATATCTAACGTAGAGCAGTTTGTTGGTGAATTAAATACGATTGAGAACAGATAACGAAAAAAAAAACTATATTTTAAAACCAAATAGTTGGCAATGACCACTAGCCACAATGATTGTGATTAACGCATAGTTCCGAGCTCGTATGGAATGTATTCGGAAGTCTTATTTGGCGCTTAAGGCAATCTGTGGATTTTTCAGGATATCTAACCCTCATCCGGGTTATAAAATAATAATAAAAAAAAAGGTCAGAAACTCTTATCATCAGTCTCTGTCACTTTGCCCAGACATCGTGTGCACGTATTTCATCATAAAATAATTAATATAATCCTTTCATCGTTCTCCCCCTCGCTATTGAAATAGTGAGCGACAGCTTTAAGAAGTTTAACGACGTTATCGAACTTTGAAGGGTGCGGTAATAGACGATAAATTATGGTTTTGAGTGATCTGATCAAGAATACGTGTAAAAAAAACCCATAAAGCCGAAGAAATTTTATTTTTAACTCAAAATTAAATTAAATTTCATAATAACCTATACTTCAAGTTTATTTGGCAAAAGACAAACTGTCAGAAAACCAAACAGTGTTATTTTGTTTCGCAAAAACGTGTTAAGTAAGTAAACAAATCTTACTAAGATCTAAAACTCATTTTTTATATAGATATTCTTTTTTTGCCGACTTGTATCTTTTGTTAAAATATTTGAGTTATGTTAGTCGGTTGAGTGTATTTTTCGAGTTACGCAAAACTTGACATACATGTATAACTGAATAAAATTAATACATTATTAAATATGGTATTAGATATATTCTAGAAAAAATGTTGCTTGTACGCAGAAAGGCACCCGCGTTAAGTTAATATGACAATGGAGAACCGGGATAGATAAAACGTTTAATATCCAATTTCCTTGGTTTCTTTGATGGTTTGATAGTGTAATTTTCGTAACAATCAATTTAATATGACAATTATTATATTAAGTTCTTGATTTTAAGTACATTAAGCCAAACCTCCCTCCCCCAAAAAAACACCACTGTTGAATGGATGTACAGTAGCGTAACTAGTGACTAAACGCCCAAGGAGCAAGACATTTTTTTAAGCTCTATATTACATGTTAACGTGTATAGTAAGCTGTACAAAAAACTGTTCTAAACTAAAATGCGCTCTGGGGTAGTTACTCTTTGTGTACCTACTGTAGCTTTGCCTCTGGGGGCGTAGAAAATATATTACTTACCAATAACCATTGAAACTTATTACTAATCATAGAAGTTGCGCTGGGCAATTTTGGGGTATTAAAATTTTAGATTATTCTTTGATTACATTTAGTAAACATTTATCTATAAATTCAACTCGACAAAATTTGGTTAATGTGATTACTCGTTGAATTCTTTGATCTTAGGATTAAAGATAAATAATATACATTTCGATAAAATTACAATTTAGCAATGGCAATTTCCTAGTTTAAGTAAAATTATTAATTAATCATAGTCATCGTTAAAAATGTAATCCGGACATGATAAATTTACTTAATAGTATTTTTTCACAGTTGAACATAAAGCCAATCAACTTTAATATGCCATGGCAGGCATTAATTAATAATAAAGACTACACCAGTATAATACAAAAGTTTGCTTAAAACTATGACAGTGATAACATAAGTGATACTAACTACCAAAGGAGCACCAGGACAAGTTGATTTGACACAAAGTAACATTTTATGTAACGGGTGATTGTACCCATAAGAAGTATGGTGGAAAGGAATTTAAAAAAGTAAATGGTTTCTTGTAGTATTCGGAAAGAGATAGAAGAGAGCAAAACGGGGGCATCGAGAAAGCCGTTGAGGAGAGATGAAATGAAAGAGAAGTCAGATTTGACATGATGGAAAACTAAACCTGTAAACTTGAGATAGGACGAAAAATAGATACCTACGTCTTTGATGGCGGATGGCCGGTCACAAGAAAACCATTGAGATAATGAGTGTAAGAAAGGTGAACGCACAGAAATGTTTCAGGTAAGATTGAAGAAGGAAGCTGTCAAAGAGAGGAATAAGTATAATTTGATATCATCGACAAATAGAAAGACTTTTGCAAAAGACAGGCTGTATTCATTTATTAAAGAAGAAAGGAACACAATTGATGAAAACAAATTACTTTCTAGATGTAAAATAGGATAGGAGCCAAGATAGAAGAGAATTGCCAATACCAATATTGTCGAAAGCAATACAATATTTATACTTAATCCTTAAATATTTGAACTAATACACATGCGACTTTTGAACAAATAACCCTTGGCTAGTGCGATCTAAGACTACGCACTGGAACGAATATGACCTCATGCTTATCTCTTATATAAACTCCGCGGCTCACGGGCACGCTGGCACTGTCCATTGGGCATTGGCGGAAGCTCAAAAGGAAAGAGAGGGGCTATGTCTACTCGAAATCGTACATGTTAATTTAATTAAATGGTTCAAAATATTCAACGAATCTCTCGCTAAAAAAATCAAATCTACAAAATATGTAGGTTGATTTCAAACAACACCGACTCTATGGAAATATATCAAAGTCCCTCTTCTCTCATTCGACCTTTCGACGTTTCTACCGCGTCAAGACTATATTATAATCATCGTTGCCCCTCTACCGCTCCCCCCCCCCATTTGGATCGTGTGCGTACTTACCGCTTTGCTATGGTCAGCGGTCCTTGTGTGACGGTGATAGTGCAACGAGGTCGATCCTTGATTAAATATTGCCGGTTCAAAAACGATCCATTTGTAAGACAAAAAATAAAAAATCGACCCGGCCGCGCTTTTGGCGCAACCGTGAGAGGAGACGTGACGACGTGCGGTGGTGGCGGTCGTCGGCTTCAGACTCTACCGCCGACTCCGCCGCTACATGGGTAAGATGTCGCTACTTGGGAATGGGATGTGCTCGGGTACGGTTATCGCCATGACGACGGGTTCGGGTGGGCGGCACCGGCCGGCGTGCAAAAGCTACCCGCCGAGAGCTTCCATCGCGGTCCGCACGCTGGTCGTAAACACGAAAAACAAATAAACAACAACAGCCATAACGCTAATAATAATAATGATAATACATTATAATAATAATAATAATTGTACGCGGGCACATATAATAGAGAATATAACGTCATACCCTTTGGAAATAATCGTAAAAATGAGTTTATGGAAAAGCGCGTTGGGCAAAGCGAAATGGTCATGAATAAAAAAAAAATTGAATACTGTTAAAAACAGGAGAACTTTATCGGTTAGGTCGGCTTTTTTTTTAGAAAACTTAAATTTTACCACAAATACAAACACTAAAGTAAAAAAATTCTAGAATTAAATTATAAATCGTGAATGTTAGATTAATAACATAAAAAAAAACCGACGAGAAAACCTAGATAAGTTGTCGTTATTTTAAATATTTTAAAAAAATTGTCTACTATTATTATTTAGCCAATAATAGAGAAAAATAAAGATAAATAAAGATTTTGCACAAAATTACCTATACCTAACTTCTATGGAAAATCACCGTGAAACGTTATCCCCGGCTGCCAAAACGATTAATATAGTAAAATGTATTATATTGGTATTATGATATAAAAATATTATATAGTATACCTCACACGATAGGACTATCTTACCTCCTGCCCATCCCTAAGAAAACCCGGCCGCGCCCTGAGGATTGACCGAGCGGGTCAAGAATTGACAAACGACTAGCGACCGGAGAGATTTTTTTTTAAACTCCTTCCATCTTTCTTCAATTCAAGTGAATTCCTGTGAACTTTGTATATAATACTTTACAAAAACCGAATAATACAAGGTGATCCATTATGGATAAGACAACTCATTTTATACTTAAATAATTTCAATTTTTTTAGTTTTTCTTTTTGGTGAGACTTATTATTATTAGGACAAATTTGATTTTGGGTTTTAATGCAATTTGTCGCTCAATTTTTATTTTTATCTGAAAAAACGAATAAAAAGAAATACGTCGATATATTGTTCAGTATAATATTATTACCAACACTATTATACTAGTATAATATTTTTGAAACTGCTGATTTTCGAAAGAAAAATATTAAGACGAATCTTCGGTCCGTGTATAGATGAAATCACAGGGAATGGAGAATTCGAAAAAACGAAGAGCTTAAACAGTTGGACCAAATGCCTGATATAATTATAAAACAAAAAAAGGAACTTAAGTTCGAATATTTCAATATGGGACTCTGCGAGGAAAGAACCCTTTGACATGATCTGTGTTTCACTGTATGATCTTAATGGTCGATTACAAAGAAGAAGATAATATTATCTAATATTCTAATATTTTAAAATAAATAACTGTTTCATAATGATTTGGTGCCACCCGACCGCTTTGATCGAATAAAGTTTGAGTACCAATATATGTATACAGAGTTATTCATTCAGGATAAGACACTTATGTTCTGTAAAAAAAATTGAAATTTTGTAGTGTTTTTTTTTTTTTGAGCTACTTTGGCTTATGTTATTTTACAGTATTCAAATTTTTATATTATTAATATTTTTTTTTGAGCGCGAAATTCTTATAACTTAAATGAGAACCTATAATATATTTAGTTACCTTTTCAAAATAAGAGCTATTTGCTGAAAAATTCGATAACTAGTTTTGAATTATTATTACTTATATAGTTATTAAAGTTTAGGTTTAGACGGAAGGAAATGTTAGGTACTCGACCGCACTCCACCACCAAGTGTTCATTTCCTGTATCACATCAATTATATAACACCGGATATATTTTTAATGGTTCCCTGTTTTGAAGTATACTACTGAATTTATGTTTACTTCGAATTGGTTAGTGTGTTTGATTGTTATTTTTTGTTTTTTATGTCTAATGCTATTCTATTCACTTATTTAAGCTTATGGATTTGTCAAAAAAATATGAAGGCATGAAAATCTCTAAACGTTATAAAACGAATAAATAATTGAATACAAAAAATGTATTGAATAAATATATCTTATTTATTAGTTATTATATTGTGTAGAATTACCCTACAAAACAATATCGTTTTTAACGGTCATTGTGAATTTTTTATTAGAGACGGGTTAAATAATAAACATATAATTTATATATTATAAAGGGCTTAGATCATTTAAAAATGATAAAAGATTATAGGGTCTATGGAGAATTTTTATAAAATGATTTTGTGCCCAAAAAGGTAAATTTAATGGCAAACGATATAATATCTGTCCAAATGCATGGCTTTAACAAAACCTTTAGTAACATAATATGTTGCATCGATAAATTGAATCTGTAATATCGTGCAATTAGACCTGACATTTATTGCGAATCTATATAGCAATGCAACCATTACAGCGGCCATTAGACTGAGATTACCGAGAATCTTGGATATTATTTTATAACAATAATTCATGGTCCATAGGATTTTCTAGGAACACATAATTGTATTTCTGCTCTTGCTATTGCTCCCGTCATTTCAAAAGATTACTAATATTATATTACAAACAAATGTTTCCCTTGGGCATTTCCACTGCCAACGGAATTTATACAGTTCTACTATAATATCGTCGTATACACTTTATTGTTGTGTATTTATCATATCAAGCTTGGCACAATAAGAGGCCAAATTCAGTTAGAGAAATAATTAGAAAATAATGCTTATTTTTTAGTTGTATTGAATTATACTCGGACTACGGTGACGGATCAACACAATTTTCTGGTAATCATTTTTTGTATCGTTTATTTTTTACTTGTTACTAAGTACCCATCAAAAAAATGCTTTCCTGATTTTTTGATCTCAAAACAATTGAATATTTGAAAACGTTGCTAGTCTTTTTGTCAACTGCGGGTAACCTGCTAAAAAGGGCTACTTATTATATTTTCAAAAATTCCTAACTTGTTTCCAATTTGAGAAAAAAAAATTAGGTAACATGGTTTTGACAGGCACTGAGAAAAATTTGTTCAAAAAATCTGAAACAAAACAATGCGAATAATAAGAATACAAAATTATATGTATTTGAGTAGTTTGCAATTTTAAATTCTTATTTGGTACATGCATTTTCACTTGGATAGTGGTTGTTAAATGTATATTGTCAAAATTGGGTATCGTATAAATGGACAATGTATGTGGGTAAAATAGGATTACTGTCGTTACATTAGTGTTGCCTGTTTAAAATTTAATTTATCTAGAAAAAAATCGGTGGAATGTTTATTGTTAAAAACTAATTTACTTAATAATAATCAATTTAAATCCTTAACCTTTAACTAATTGTATATTTCAGATTAAATCGATTATCACACATGATTGTCATTTAGATTTTATTCAACAATAATATTATTATTAAAACAATCAATATATTATTTATTAAACAAACATACAGTATAGAATAATAATTATATGTATAGTAATAATACATTTTTCATAGTTTTTATCTATACAAATTATAGGAATACACATTACACAATTCAACGTTCATGGTCTATTGTTTAAAACGATAATTTAATGATATTTATAAACGAGAAAAAACAAACCCTGTTGCAAGAAAATTATACATCATATTCTGCACCTTCACTTCTGTCATCAGATATGATCGAAATTGTGTACTCAGCTGTGCTCTGATCAACCCTAATTAAATTTACAGCCAATCATACTAAATATCCAAATAAACCCCCAGCTAATACATCCAACAAATAATGACGTCTAAGCGAAATTCTGATAACAGCCACGGCTAAGGCCCAAATGAAAATTATTATATTTGTTATTTCACTCAACAGTCAACGGGTGCAATAGTGAAAAAAAGAAATGTAATATAAAATGCGCGCGACACGTGGCCAGATGGAAAAGAATAACAATCCGGTCCAATTGTTATCCATTGATCATTTTGATTGCCCACAAGCGTTCGTCGTCGAATGAAGGCTTTAATTTTTTTCTTTTTTCAATTTGACAAACATTTCGTTATTTGATTCACTGCGTTTACTTGATTATTCAATTAAGTTTTATTTACTTAATTGTTAGTTAATACCTACAACTATTCAAACATGGATGGATACACTTATTATTGGGTTGTATATTCTATAAGCTTTTATCATACACGTTTATTAAGAGGTAAGTCAGAGAAGCACAAGGGAAAGAGAAAGGAGAAGATCTGAACTACCCCTTAAAATTCAGGAACGATTGCAAGCATTGAAAACGCTAATACCGCTTTGTCGTGTCGTTATAAGGCATTTTAATTATCGACTTAGCCAATTTAATATTAGCTGTTGGCATACTCGCACAGCGTTTGTTTCAGTCATTTCTTAAGTATTAAATGCAATTGATCATTTATTATTTATCTTGAGAGAAGCCGTGTAAACTACGCTAGTATTGAATTAAATGTAAATAATTTTGCACAACATAATAGTACATTCAATTATTATAATTAAAATAAAATAGTCATTTCTACGGGTTAGTCAAAATGTGTTTGTTGTGAATTACTTATGACTCGGCTGTGTATTTCTACCAGATCGCTGCAAGCAATGATGCCCCATCATGATCTGTACGCACTCACCCCTGGACAATTCTTGATCGGAATTTTTTTTTAATGTGACATGTTTAATGTCGTCTAAATACCATCCCATATATTGCCGTTGTTTAAATTTATCTGAGAACCGCGCCTCGCCAGTGGCCATTCTTGTTTTACTTACTGTGTGCAGCTGTATTAATTCAATTAAATCGCTTATAATAAAATGCCCGTGCATTTATCAATTTATTATCGCCTATCGGTTGTTCGCGTTTGACAATTGACACGTTATATTAATTAAAATGTTTATTTTCTATGAATTTGTTAAATAACATTAACGTATATAATATATTCGCCTTTTGAG